CTGGCAAGGTAAGGGATCTTCACAACCAGCAGCACTGCAAATCCTAGAACAATGGGGGAATGGTAAGAGTTATGGACCAGCGAAACTGAATGAGTTCTGATGCTACTGAGCTGTGTGGATGCTATCCAGCCACCAGGCCAGCTCAGGGGTATACATTGCAAATGTCTGTCAGCCCCCAAACCAGCTTCTGTAGGAAGACCACACTAGATAGATCTGTTCAATGGATAAAGCAAGAGCCACAATTTTAGAAGACTCATGCAGGTCTGTTCATGATTAGGGCTCACCGTTTCTCATTTAAATGGTCATAACAAGATTCTGAGGAACACTTAAAACCACAATATCCTTGGTAAATTTAGCATGACTAGCAATGAAGTTAAGCTAGATTTCTATCATAAATTTTAATTTAAAAAAGGAACACTTTTTAATTCTGTTATAAGATCAACTCTACTAAATATGGCTAGCTATTACTTTTTCATATGAAAATAACCAAACTCCTAAATTAACTTTATATTTTATATAATGTCTTGAATATAAATAAGATCTGCATTTAAATCAATAGTGCCTAGTGCCTACATATTCTACTATGAATACAAAAACCAAGTATAGTAATAACCTTCATTCTTGGTCATAGTTTTCAGTACAAATCAGTGTTTCAGTCAAAAGTCGGACAATCACTTCATGGTATGTTTTGAAAAAAGGACAAGTTGTAACACTATTTACATTCATACATTTTTGAAAATGTATGAAAAACACAAATTGGCTAGCAAGGCTAATTTGTGGCAGTCAGAACAGGACCAGATGCTCTGGCCACAAGATTAAGCTTACTGTTGCACACTGGAGTGTAGGATTAGATAGACCTTTGGTTTTGTGCAATATGGATCCATGCCATGTTTCCCTGATGGGCAAATAGCAGCAGGAGAGTGATTTTAATTTAAAAATAACACGAGGGGTAAAGGTCAATCTTCATCCATCGTTAATTATCATGCACATAAATCATCATGATGGTCCTGTTCACTCATTGTCTTGACTGTTGAGTAAGAATGTTTGGTTACACTCTATTTTTTATTTTGTTCTTTTTTTCAGGAGGCAATATATGCAGAGCAGATGAATTTCTTTGCAACAATTCACTTTGTAAACTCAATTTTTGGGTTTGTGATGGAGAAGATGACTGTGGTGATAATTCAGACGAACTTCCAGAAATATGTGGTGAATGTCTCTTTAATTTAATGTTGTTTTTTGTCAACGGCTTTAAATTGCTTATATTTGTACCCTGCTTTGCTGACTACAAATGTATACGAATGCCATGTTAATGACTTTATAGAATGGTGGCAGAAGTTAAGCCTACTTCTTCCTTCATTATTCCCCTTGCATGCTGGGAAAAAATCCAATTTTCTTCCCCAAGAATGTCCCAGTAGACTTGGGAGGAAGTAATTCCAACATATTTTGGGGCCCCTGAGCTGATTTATGGCTAGAAGAGACTTTTTAAATATTGTGTTTGTTGGTTGTTTTTCTTTGTTTGTTTGGGTGTTTGTTTTTTAATGTGTGATGAAAGGTCTCTACTGGGTCTTAAATTGCTCGGTGTATAAAATGTGGTAAAGTGTCCTCTTCTTCAAGGCTTTATGTGTGGATTTTAAAAAGCTTTTCTGTGTTTGCCCCCCTCCCCACCGAAAGGGCTGCTAGAGTACAATAAAACACACTTTCCACATCCTTGCTTTATAGCAAAGATGGTATACACTTCAGATGCATGGAGAACATCACACAGCAAGGTTTTATTTCATCCTCTGCTATATTTCAAAAATGTTTGCATTTATATCTGAATCAGCTCTTAACCAAGAACATTTTAAAGCAGTGGTTCCCAACCTTTAGTCCTCCAGTTGTTTTGGATTTTAGCTCCCACAATTCCTAACAGCTGGTAAGTTACCTGGGATTTCTGGGAGTTGAAGTTCAAAACAATTGGAGGACCAAAGGTTCTGAACCATTGTTTTAAAGCAATGTTTATCTTTCTCAAATCTGAAGAAGAATAAGCAGCTGATCAGCCATGTATTTACAGTAACTATTAGAGTTGGTTAGGTTCACTTCTTTAAAACCTTAAATTAATTAAAACCTATTGAATCTGGGTTTTTTAAATCAATTTTGAACCATGCAGGAAAAGTTAGAAGTGTAATTATGATTTGAACCACTTACCCTTTTTATTCATAAATATTTCGTAATGTTTGTAACTCTCCCAAGGTTATTTGAATTTTCACAAGCATTAAGCAACTTTTATAAAGTTTTGCTTCCCCTCCCAGGCGATGCAAAGGAGGGATGAGGTGGGCATGCCTAAGCACAGCCATTGTTGTAGTTTGTGAAGGGAAGGCCCCCAATGGTAGAGATTGCAAAAGGCCCTGTTGTTAAACTACATTTCCCACCCTGCCTTGCTGTGCATTAGCCAAAATGGATGAGCAGCAGGCTCCTCCTTCTCCTTTTCTGCATTACCAACTGAAGCTCCGGAGTTTGCATTCAAACCGAGTTTTCCTCACTCCCTGCCCCACCTCACCTCAATCTCAAGGTTTGGCAACTGGGAGTTTACCCAGGCAGGAAGTAGCCTCTGCTCAACAGGATCAAGCCAATGCTGGGTTTAAAAAAAAAGGAAAGGGGGAAGATGAGAGAAAATTGAGAAGGGAGAAAGGAGAGGGTCTTTGTGTTATAGATCAGTGGCACTAAAGTTTGATTGGGATATTGGTTAAAGCAACCAATTTTGGAAAGGAAGGAGAACCTGTCAGAAGCACCTTCCTTCCCTTAGTTCCCTTCCTCTCTTCCTTCCCTCCTTCCTTCCTTCTTTCCTTCCTTCCTTCATTCCCTCCCCTGCCTCCCTCCCTCCAGGTGGATCAGGCAGATCTTACCGAGGAACCACTTCCAACTGCTTTGCCTCAATGCTACACAATCCTGGGAGCTGTAGATTTGCATGGTTTTTTAGCCTCCTTTGCCAAAGAGTGCCATACTACAAACCCCAGGATCCCATAACATTGACTGTGGCATAGCTGCATCTAATCCAGGCCTGGGCAAACTTTGGCCCCTCCAGGTGTTTTGGATTTTCACTCCCATTATTCCTAACTGCCTGAAGCCCGCTGTCAGGCTGAAGCCTGGCAGTGGGAGCCAAGTGGCACCTGAGGGGGCGTCACCTCCTCCTCCTCCTCCTCCTCCTAGGCATTGACAGCCGAGGCAGGCCTGGAGTGGAAGAGCCCCTCGGTCAGGAGTGGCCTGAGTGGAAGAGCCTGAAGTTTCCCCAGTGCCAGTGCTGTTTTTTCCTACTGTACATGTATATCTGCCATTAAGTAAGCTGTTTCAGAAGTTTCGGAGTTTTGAAAAAAAAATTTTTTAAAGCAAGTGACTTTAGAATCGAACCACCAGTGCTCCCTACAGCCGAAATGAGTTTTGAACCATTTTTTTTATCAAACAAGCCTAGTGACTACCTATTTAAATATATGGATATGCAGTCATATAATAACTTTTGACTCTTTCATGTAAGCAGATAAGTTAAAAAAATATGTGTTTAACATTATTAGCATTATGATATTACCTTTGTTTTCTTTTTCACAGTAAAATTTCCATGTCCCCCAACAAGGCCATATCGATGCAGAAATAGCAGAGTCTGTCTGCGGCATGAACAGATTTGTAATGGGATTGATGATTGTGGTGATGACTCAGATGAAGACAACTGTGGTACATAATTTTAGCTTGGATTACAATGAAAGAAAAGGAAAGATGTCACACTATGAATGGTTGGCATCTCTAAGCAGCCAGACTTTGCAGTCTCCTCCTTGATATGCAGAAACCTATGACAAAAAGACATTTCTATTGCTGCTTCTGTTCATTCTGCTTCCAGAACGGCTGTTGCCTGTTGCTCCATGTCAATCTGCTGTTGTAAACAAAGCTCATCTGATAAAAGCTAATCAGAGAAATAATGTGTCATGATACATAATGTCATGATGCACAAAGCTAAATCTTTCCCCCCTCCCCCTGAGACACATTAAGCATCCAATGTATCTAAGATTCATTTTGATAGTAAATATGCTGCAATTGGGGGGGGGGGGGAGTGTATGTCAGATATGCTTTGGAATCAATCAATAACAGAGATCTTTGGTTCAGGTTTTTAAAAATGGATTCATAACTTGGAAAGCACATTACACATTATGTTAGGGCCAGACCACATCCAGTCAAAGCCATTAGACTGGTTTGACTGCATGTATTGTATCAGCTTACAGGTGGGACAAAGTCATTAAATAATAAAACCAACTTTATGGGACCAGGAGAATCACAGCAGAAAATCCAGATGCTGACTGTGGGTCATTCCTCAAAGCAAGCAAACTGTTTCTAATAAACTCTGTTGCATAACCAGGCCTGAAGCCAGATTGAAATGGATCTAGAAATCCAGGAATTGAGAGCCCACAGTTTGTTCCAATACCTTTCCCAAAAAATGGGATGTTGAACACTGGCTGGTAATTAACCATTACAGAGAATTCAGGGATGACATGTTTCAACACAGGCTTCACAACTCAACAACAGCATCCATGTTAAGCAGACCTGAGCAACTTTATCTGCAAAGTGCCAGTGGGCTGTTGAGTGGCAAGCATTTTCTACTTGAGCACCAGTGTGTAATAGGCCTCTTTCACAGCAATTTAGTGCATAGAGATTTCTACGCAGTGTGTAATATCTTCAACTTGACCCAACTCATAGGGACAAAATTGCTGTTCCATAGAGACCTTATAAAAATCTGTCCTAAAATACCCAGAGGCATACTTTGGAAATGAAAATGTGTTTAATGTCTTCCATAAGGAGAAAGTAATAAGGTTAATACGTTAGTGAGGTATTTGTGTCAATAAATTAATGAGTATTTATTCTTCTTAAAATGGGGGTACCACCTGGAAAATGTTGAGTACTGGACCAAGCTGACATCTTTTTTTAGAATTCTGGGCAAATAGCCAGTTACCAACTTTTTAATATACCCCAGAGCTTAATGACTTCTTGTGAGGGCATGGAGCAAATTTGTAAAACTGGTAACAGCATGCCAGTCTTTTTATATCTATCCCTGGGGTTCCAAAAGCAAAGTTGAACTAAATGATTACCCATGAGGCTATTCAGGTTTAATTTTTTTTTAAAAAAAAAAACAGTTTCAGGTGAACATTTTAATGGATTGAAGCCAGCCCAACAGATGTGCAGCAGGAGTAACCAAAATTATCCTTAAAGATTATTTCAGATTGTCTCTGGCTTATCAAACTGTTCCTTGTCCCTGGGATATTTCAACTCTGTATAAAGTTTGTGAAACAGCTTTTCCCTGGGATATTTCAAAGGCAGTGACTATTAGTTGAAAAAGAGAGAAAATGTTGCCCCCACTAAGAGCCAGGAACTTGTTCTTACATAAAGATAGAAAAATGCCATTTGAAGGATCGGCAAAATGCTATGCATCCGTAGAGGGGGACCCTCCACATTCAGCAGCATATGATTAATATATACTTTTTTGCATTAAGATAATCTAAATCTTTGTAACTTTTTGCAGACAAAACTACATATAAAGTAAGGCCTTGTAAAAAAGATGAATTTGCATGCAACAATAAGAAGTGCATTCCAGTGGAATTAGAGTGTGATCAGTTTGATGACTGTGGAGATGGTTCAGATGAGCAAGGCTGTAAAACAAGTAAGTTTGACTAAGAAATGTCCAATTCATCATTCCTAAGGAATGAAATCAGAACACATCTGCCACTTATTTATATCCAATAAAAGCTGCCCGGACATAGAACCATTATTTTTGTTTGCATATGTGTGCAGTGTATTCTAGATCACAGTTAATGTGTATATCCAATAAAGAAATGTGTGTTGATGCTACAGAATAACATGTGTAGCCAATAGAGAAAAGACATTACCATATTTCATCAATTCTAAGATTCACTTTTTTCTCCCAAAATCAAGGTTCAAAAGGGGCGTTTGTCTTACAATCAATAGTTTCCTAGATTCAGGGTTTTTTTGTTTTTGTTTTTTAAAAGATCAGAATCAGCAGTGGCAGGAGGGAAATAATCTGTCCTGGGCAGCCCCTGAAAACCTCCCCAGCCCTGTCCTGCCACTGCCACCTCCCACTGCTAGGCCACTGCCACTTGTGGCTGCCATCACCTCAGTATCTTAGGGTTGTTGGGGTTTCCTTCCAAAAAAAAAAGGATGAGGAGCAGCAGTGGAAGCTAAAAGTAGAAAGAAAATACAAGGGTAATCCAGTCCAACTCTCTATCATGCAGGAACACACAATCAAAGCACTCCTAACAGATGGCCCCAGAGCTTCTGCTTAAACACCTCCAAAGGAGGAGACTCCCATGTGTTTCATTTCTGTTTCTTCATACTAGAAAACATGATGTGTGAATGCAGCCATACTGCATACATTTGCATTATTCCGTTCGCAAAAAAAGAAAAAAAGGAAACAGAAATAACTTTAAAATAATAATAATCCAAAAGTGGGTTACTGTAAATTTTTCAGGCTGTGTGGCCATGTTCCAGAAGCATTCTCTCTGACATCTATGGCAGGTATCCTCAGAGGTTGTGAGGTCTGTTGGAAACTAGTAAAATGAGTGGAATGTCTGTGAAATATCTGTGGAATGTCCAGGGTTGGAGAAAGAACTCTTGTCTGTTGTAGGTAGGTGTGAATGTTTCAATTGACCATCTTGATTAGCATTTGATGGCCTAGTAGTTCTCAAGGTGTGGCTTCTTACTGCCTGAGGGAATCCTTTGCTGAGAGGTGATTAGCTGTCCCTGATTGTTTCTTGTCTGGAGCTCCCCTGTCTTTATTTACTGTTGTGATTTTAGATTTTTTTTAAATCCTGGTAACCAGATTTTGTTCATTTTCATGGTTTCTTCCTCTCTGTTGAAATTGTCCACATGCTTGTGGATTTCAATGCCTTCTCTGTGTGGTCTGCCATGGTGGTTGTGAGACTGGTCCAGCATTTTTGTGTTCTCAAATAAGATGCTGTGTCCAGGTTGTTTAATCAGGTGCTCTGCTATGTCTGACTTCTCTGGTTGAAATAGTCTGCAGTGCCTTTCATGTTCCTTGATTTGTGTTTAGGTGCTCCGTTTGGTGCTCCCTAAGTAGACTTGTCCACAGCTGCATGGTATAAGGTAGACTCCTGCAGAGGTGAGAGGATCCCTCTTGTCCTTTGCTGGATGTAGCATTTGTTGGATTTTCTTAGTGGGTCTATAAATTGTTTGTATGTTGTGTTTCCTCATCAGCTTCCCTATACTGTTTCTTTGTTGTATGGCAAGAACACATTTCCTCTGATCTTTGTCTTTACTCTTGGTCTTGCAGCTCTTCTGATGTCTGTGGTGGAGTATCTATTGGCCTGTAAAGCCCAGTTTAGGTGGTTAATCCAAAAGCTGAATTTGTTTGGACACAAAATTCTACATTAGCTATTTTAAGAGTGATTGATCCTTACCACTGTAACATTTCTATTGAAATAACTTTTCTTATTGTTCTCTTTGGGGAAAAAAGAAACAACATCACTTTGATTTGACAAGTACCTCTTTTTTCTTTTTTAGGTTTAACAGAATACAGCTGTGAAAATAATGTGAACCCCTGTGGTGATGATGCATATTGTAATAAAACCAAAACATCTCTTTTTTGTCAGTGCAAACCTGGATTTCAAAGGAACAAGAGAAACTGGCAATGTGAAGGTATTTTTTTTTAAGAAAATGCATTGAAATCTCTATATCCCAAAATATTTCATAAAAATTACATACATTTAAAAGATTGTATTCAATAGCAATCATGCTTTATTTTTGGGTGACACTGGTTTGGAAGTATGCCAGTCCTAATGTAATTGATACATAAGGAAGCAGTTACAAAAGTTTAGAAATTTGGTTGGCTTGTTATGACTTGTCTTCATGTTTGTAATTTTAAAGAAGTCCCACACACCATGATTTGAATTTTCTGTGTAATTTTAGCCTTACTTGCCATAACCTTTTTTGAAACAGACTGCCTATAAATTCAATAAGGTATAAAAGGTTTTCTTTCCTAGATATCAATGAATGTCTAATATTTGGCATCTGCTCCCAGCTCTGTATTAATGTAAAAGGATCATACAGGTGTACTTGTGAGAGGAATTATAAAGAAAGAAATAGTAGCTGCGTTGCAAAAGGTAAGCTGTCAGAAATAATTTATGCTCCTAGTGTACATTTTAGCCATTAGCTGCCAGCCTCTTGATACTTGTGCACATAGAAACAGTGCATTAGAGCATAATGCAGATTATTCAAGATTTACACTTGAACAACTTGTGTAGTGCTGAAGGAAAATATGGTGGAAATGAAAATATATTCTTTCATGCATATCTGGGGTAGGGAGATAAAACAGGATACAACTGAGTCCTAAAGAGATCATTTGTGGGAAAGATAATTATAACTTTGTGAGGGTATAACCTGTGCTTGTCAAAAGAAGAATACAGAAAGAAGGCTTTTCCTTGGGATTATACTTGAAATTGAAACCCTTGAATTCCAGAGTCATGCCACATTTAATTTAAAGATTTTTTTCTCCAGAGTAGGTTTATGCATGCATGTATGTATAGCATTTTAATCAGTCAGTATTAGGAACAATTGTAATTATTTTCCAGAATGTGATCTCAAATGCTAATGTAAATAATGTAAATATAATTAATATAAATAATGACAGAATGACACATTAAGGGATATAAAAATACAGTTGGTTTATGTTACTTAGCTTAGTTGCTAATATAAAAGCAGATAGGAGGGATTGTGGAGAGAGGAAGAGAGAAGAATTTTCCACTTTATATGGCTGGTATAGGTAGGGTGGTATGAAATAAGGTGCTGGTTCAAATGTCTGGGTGCTTAAATCATTTTCTGACAAACCATGAGGAAATAAAATCCTGTCTGATGACAGTCCATAGCACATATCTCAAAAGATAGAAAGAAGTTCCTCAAAGAGAACACTTTGGAACAATGGTTCTCAACCTGTGAGTCCCCAGGTGTTTTGACCTACAACTCTCAGAAATCCCAGCCAGTTTACCAGCTGTTATGATTTCTAAGAGTTGAAGGCCAAAACATCTGAGGACCCACAGGTTGAGAACCACTGCTCTGGAACCAATCCTTCACAGAGGAGCAGAATCTCCTTCTCACCACAACTCTAGTTGGAATCAAATGGTATCAAAAGGCAAAGATTTAAAACAACTAACATGTTTGTGCTTCATCTTCAGTTCTCCAAAATGTGGTAATCAGCCAAATAACCAAAGATGTTTGTGGCACTTAACTGAAATGGCTACATACAATCAGCACCATCCAAAAGAACCTGGAAACAAATCACAGCCACCTATTAAAATGCCTTTCTCAAATGCAGGATATTAGCATCTAATCCCAGAGCTTTCCAGACATTTCATATTGGTGACACACTTTTTTGACATGCATTATTTTGCGACACAGAAATTCAGTTTTACTAGCAAACCAGATGTTTAAATCAACCACTTATAAGAGATATGGACACATACATGAATTGCAATAATGAAATATGTCATACAACATATCATGAAAACCCTTTGTGCGTGTGTGTGTGTGTGTGTGTGTGTGTGTGTGTGTGTGTATATATATATATATATATATATATATATGATTTATTGCTTATTTCACATAGACATCTCTTGTTATGTTTTGTGCACCACACCAACACACTGCAGCTGACACACACAGTTTGGAATGCTCTAATCTAGGCAATATGTACGACAATCTTCTGAGACCAAATAAACTTTTTGAAAACTGCATCATGTCACTTCTTTCAAAGTGATTGGAAGCATTCACTATTTACATCCTGGACCCAAGCCCCATCTACACTGCCATATAATGCAGTTTGGAACTACATTATATGGTAAGTGTAGATTTATAAAATTCAGCTTAACTGTATTGAATTGCATGAAATGATTCTACAATGGCCATATAATGTAGTTTCAAGCTTCATTGTATGGCAGTGTAGATGGAGACCCAAATTGTCAAGTCTTTTCTGCTTGATTTTACTTTCCTTGGCCCATTGTGGGCAGGAATCAAGTGAATATATCAGCCGCATCACTCCAAACACATTGTTTATCTACTTAGGTTGCACCATCACAATTTTATGTCTCAAAATAATGAATGGACACCCCTTGTGCAATTGGGGAATGGCTACAGCAGACTTAAGGAATTGTACATTAGTGGAATGTCAATATATTCTGAATTAACTTCAAAATCTTTCATAAATGCTGGAATACATTATATCCATATGACACGCTGTTATTCTTTTCTTAACTATAAGATACTTACCAGAATACAGATTTGTGTGTCTTAATAGGATACAAAGGTGCAAAACAGATGAACACCTTTAAAAGAGATTACAAATTTATTAACGTTTAGATTATATTGTCCAACTTAGCAGTGGTAAACTAGGAATGTTTATTTTTCATGCATACAGGTCTAGAATGATCTCTATACGCTTCCCATTTATACTTTTGGTTTTGAAACTGCCCAACTGTAAGGGGCCAAGGTTCTGAAATGATTATAAAGAGATTTATTATATAAATAAGTATGAACATTAAGAATGCATAAAGTGCATTATTTCGTAGTAGTTGAATTTTATTTTATTTTTGTATTTCATTATAATAATCTCCAGGCTCTGAAGATCAAGTTCTCTACATTGCTAATGACACTGATATCCTGGGTTTTGTATATCCATTCAACTACAGTGATGTTCATCAACAGATTACACACATTGAACATAACTCAAGAATAACTGGAATGGATCTATATTATCAAGGGGAAATTATTATTTGGAGTACTCAGTTTAATCCAGGAGGCATTTTCTATAAAAAGTTCCACCAGGGGGAAAGGAGACAAAGCAATAGTGGTGTCATAGTAAGTAATCTTAACTGCTGTATTTTTACATTTTTTAAAAAATTTCAGAGCAGGTATGTGACTTAGTTTAATATATTACATGCACTTAGGGGTTCTAAATCTCAGGGCGTGGGTCCCTGTACCCAGATCTCAAAGCAAAGGAAGGAAATCCCAGGATTGGAGACATGCCTTGAAAAGACTGAAAATGGCTACTATAAAACTTCTGCTTGGCTGACGAGCTGCGGTGGCACAATAGGTTAAACCAGTTGTTCTCAATCTGTGGGTCATCAGACGTTTTGGCCCACTACTCCCAGAAATCCCAGCCAGCTTACCAGCTGTTAGGATTTCTGGTAGTTGAAGGCCAAAACATCTAGGGACCCACAGGTTGTGAACCACTGGGTTAAACCCTTGTGTTGACTAAACCCCTAACCTGAAGGTTGGCAGTTCGAAACCACAAAATGGGATGCGCTCCTGTCTATCAGTGCCAGCGTCCCATGCGGGGACATGGGAGAAGCCTCCCACTGGATGGTAACACATCCAACCATCTCTTGGTCAATATCGTTCACCACAGTTTAGTATCCTATTGCAATAGTTTCTCAAATTGCTCCTAACACAAAAAAAAAAACTCCACTCTTTTCCTCACCAATGAAAATTAGCCTCAACAAAATTCATTTAGTATAATGGACCATAAGTTGTGTGATGGGCAGATTCCAGTTCTGTCTTCATACATTTAATTCATGCTCCCTCTTGCCCATATTCAAGTATGCATATGGAATAAACTTGTTGCTATAGTTCTCATTTGCTAATATCACCAGAAATAAAGAAAAATTAATTTAAATAACCGAAATTATATATGTAACACAGGAACTCAGATTCCCTACTGGCAAAGGTTTGAAAGAGCTAAACCCAATCTCACTAAAGCTACTCATTTTGAAGATGTACTATAATGAGAATATATTGACCTTTTCATTGAACCTCATTTACATAAGATTTTTAAGAATTAGGTATGTGTATTGTTTCCTTTCTTATCACATTATAAAATGACCTTTTGTTTTAAGAACAGAATATATGCATATGCATTCTACTGCATTTTTTAATTGTTGATACAATAATATGATCTTAAAAGCCCACCCATTTTTGAAAGGGCATAATACAATTTGCATACTGTAACGAATTAGGAGAGAGGAGGGACGATTTATTATTTATTACTCTTAATGGTGCCACCAATGTGTGATGTGAGGTATTATTGGGAGATATGGCACACTGGACGCAGAATTAATGGAGATGAGGCAGTCTTCAAACAAAAGAGAACAAGTTTATTTTGAACAAAGCGTATGGTTGCAGGCTGTTGATAAACTTGGAAATACTTTGAGAACTTTACATGTAACTTGGTTGCAATACAGTTCACACTTCTGGATGTTACAACTTGTAATTGACTTTTACTGTGGTGAAGCACTTTCTTAAACAATGTTTCCTGAGGTGAATAGCCTTCCTGTTTGATCCTTCCGTGATCAAACCCCAGATCTCTAGTTCATTTCTAACTAGTGATGTAAACAAGCTTCTCTTAGTCCTCTCTAACTAATGAAACTAATTAGGTTTCCCCTTCAGCCTTCCTAAACTGAAGAAACCTCCGACTATTCACAAACACTGCTCCTCTACTTCCCACTTTCTCTCTCTCAACTGCTAACTCCCACTCCAAAACCCTAACTGAACATTAACTGTCGTTTTTCAAACTCTCCCCTCTAAGCTCCTCCCACTTCTCTCTCTACAGCATCGTCTCCATGGCAACGCACTCCTCTGACTTAGGCCGCTCCAGCATTACTGCAGCCAATCTAAACACCAATACAGTTAAAGTCATACAATTTATAATCAACTTCTGTACACCTTCCCCCCCAGAAAAAGTTATTTTTGGGCCATTCTCAGTCCTGGAATGGGCAAAAATAATTCCACAAATTATCCAACAATATCTAAATACACAATATTTCTGAAAGGCAATCACAATATGGTTAAATACATTATAATTCATACATATATAAACCTTTAATTAATCAGTTATCTATTATCATCTATGGATGTGGTATCAAAGACTCACATTTCTAACATTTTTCATATAAACAATATATCTAAACATTTCTATATTTATACATATATTTGTAAATATTTATTGCCTATTGCAAAACTTACATACCTACCACACTTTAATATTACACTACCTTACACATACATTACCTTTTCCTCTATCTATTCAATTCTCCATATCAACATCAAATATCCTTGTCCAAATGTGTTTCTATCCCATTAACATATATAATTGACCTTCTACCTAGTTTGGTCAATTTATAAGACATTTATCTATATACCATACCACAACGTTTCTCCATATATATGGTCCCAATTTGTTAATAGCCCATACAATAGTTAAACTCCCACATTTGATCATTGACATAGATGTTTTAGTGTCCAATGTCCCATGGTTCAAACACAACCTCGGTTGTATTGGACCAACTGTCCACAGCAATGTCTCTTTATGATGATCTTTTAACTTCTTTCTTCCACTTCTTCGTTTCTTCTTTTGTCC